GGGGGGGGGAAGAGAGAGAGAGAGAGAACGAACTGCTAAGTTTTCTCAACTTGAAGCATCAGAGTTTTACTGGTTTTATTTCTGTATAACTTTAGTTGTAGTTTTCTGTTTCCTGTTACGTTTCTTCTGCTTCTTTTGTTAATCTTTCATTTTAATTTGCCTGAAAATTATGCTTATTGTCATAGATTCACATGTCTGACCCAATAGTAATCAGTTTCATTGAACACAACTTTAAGGTCATTCTTGTCTTTTAACATTATACATAATTCATAGATATTGCTGATGAAGCTGATGTGTAATTTGAACTTAAATATTTATAGTTTGTTTAAAGTGATCATCTATCTTATAGGTTATATAGAGTCATTATCATTTTTCTTGGATATAAAGCATGTACTCCAACCAATAATTGCTTGGCCTACACTTTTCTAGTTCTTTATATTGCCAAGAAAAAGCAGGTAGTTCACCCCTAATTCTATGGTGCTCCTATGGTAAAGTTTAGATTTGTTGGTCCATGATATGAATGGATTTTTTTCTATGTATTTTAGTAGTCTGCTTACTACTACTCTATGCAGGCTATACCTGTAGACATGCAACAAGTTCTTTGGCTACCAGGTGCTGTTTGGGTATTTACTCATAGTGTTACAGAGTTGCCTGTATTTTCCAAGAAGATGAAAAGGGAACAGTGCCATAATGCTAAACTTGAGCTCTGTAACTCCTAGAATTCTGCTTCCTAATTGGGGCAATCATTAATACTGCTCACCAAAAATTGTCCAGGTCTAAGCCTTCCTGTTACAAAGTAGAATTGCACATTTGATACTCTTGTGGTGGGGTAGGGCCAGTGAGCTGTGAGTGAGAGTGATGAATGTCACCTCTTTGAGCACATGGCTACATCCAGTGCAGCACCCTTGGGAATTCTGTCTTTTCCTGTGGGCACCATGATTGATAATGTTTAAAATATTGGTTTGCTACTCTCTCAGCCTGGATCCCTGCGTGACTACTCTTAGCAAAGACTTCCTCACTACCAACAGATAACAGATATGCAGTGAGAGAAAGCTATAGGCCTTTGTGAAGCCCCTGGATTATTCTAACGGTTGCACCAATAACAACACAGGAATGCCACAGTTCTTTGTAACCTGTATCTTTAGAAGAACCATTCCTGAGATTTTAGCACTCTTCAGAAGATGGCCAAATGACTGAAATCACATTCCTCTCATTTCTCTAGTCTGTAAATAGAAGTATCACAACTTGTTATCTTACAGTAATTTATCAAATAAGTTGATTTCTTTTCTGTATGGTGATAAACATTTGAGTAGAAATTGCCGGCTGATTCATACATTGAATATAAATTTGGTCTAGTAAATATCATCCAACAAAGGGCTCTGATGTCAACATGCGCTATGAGGACTCAATTAGCCCACAAATAGCAATTATATATGGAGTACCTGCCATAGGCCAACGATTGGATAGATGCTTTTCATATAATATTTAGTTTCACAGCAACTCCATGAAGAAAAGCATCACCACTATTAGACACTGAGAGTCAGGCTACATGTTTAACCCAAAGTCAATTAGCTACTAGGCGATGGGCCAGTGATTAGAATCAAGATGTCTAACTCCAAAGTCTAAATTCTTTTCTCTTTCTATACCATGCCAATTTCCTTATGCTTAAGCAGTGGTCTAATTTATTGTTGAATGTTTCCCACATTTGCACCTATGAAATGAGGACATTTCTACCTTTTAATTCTAATAGATATGTTGAATGATGACAGTCTCTAGGAGACTTGCTCAAGCAGAACTTTTTTAACGTACATATACAGTAGTCACTTGACAAGTGTCTCTGGAGTAACATCTACTTGAGCACAAGCTTTGATTCTAATATTCATTAGGATCCGAATTCCAAGAATGTAGTATGTGATAAGGATTAACACATTTGTTTATAGACTAGATCACCAGGCAGCTCTTTGCTCTTAGGTAATGAAGTGAGACTGGATACCAATCTATTGAGCAATTCAGTGGAAAACCACATTTGCAAATACATATATATTCTTGCACCGTGTTCCTGCAGCAAATGATCTGTAGAGCTATCGAACTCTCAATTTCCATCCTATGAATTCCATATTTGATATAAAATTTGCTGTAATCTTGCTATTATTAGGTTAAGACTGTTGGCTTGTTTTCTAAGCATTGTTTTTGGCCTGGAGAAAGGTTAAGGGAATTAGAACATGTTTCTATAACTGTGACCTATTTGTGAATAATCTGCCAAGGAAACTTCTGTAGTAATTATATTAGGAAAAGAAGGAAGTTGTCAAAATGGTTAAAAAGGCAGCCTCTAGAGCCAGGTTCTTTGGGTTTGAAGGTTGCCTATGCTATTTACTAGATGTTTGACC